TCCCCTTACTTGTAGCAGCATATTTTGCTTGCTTTTTTTTTTTTTTTTTTGAAGAGTTCATTTCCCTTGATGTTACAATCAGGCAGTGGTATTAACTCAGCAACTTGGCCAGGCCTAGAACAGCGCCGAGCACACCATCAGCACTCAGTGGATGTTTGTGGGGGCAAATCACACCCCGGCGGGACTGACCTTGGGCTCTCTATTCAACTGGAGCCAATGAGGGCTACAGCTGCACTCTTCATTTCTGTCCCTTGGAGAATGCAGCGAGAACCTTGGCTTTATTAGCTCTGGAAACAACACTTCATCCACTCGGACAACTTCCTGTGTCTTGGCAAGTCTCTGCTGGAACTGTCCTAGCCCAAGCCTGAAGCTCTGAGTGTGGGATTTCTCGAATCCAGAAAAACAAGAAAGCTGCAGCTCGAGATTTTTCCCTGCCCTCAGGAATGCTTCAGGTTCCAGAGCTGAGAAAGCAAGACGTTAATGGCCATTTTCAGTGTGTCTGTGAGGGTTCCATGAGACCGTGAGCAGGGAAGGCATCAGGGGTCCCTTATTTATATGTGCACACATCCCTTCAACACACGCCCCGGGGATGCCTGGCACATGCCAAGTACTGTGTCAGGCAGTGGGGACAGAGAAGAGGAAGGAAAGAAAGGCACGGCCCTTGCTCTTGAGGAATATAGTGGGGGAGGAAACACAAACAAAAGATCATGATGCGTGATTAAAGGAAAAGCCACCTGGCTGAGAGGCTCTAAATCCCAAAGTCCTGGGTTCTAGCTTTGCCTCCAGCCCTTGCGTGCTCTAAGATCTGGGGCAAATTGCTCAACCTGCCTCAGCCTCAACTGTCCCACCTCCAAATGGGAAGAGGATTAGCTACCCCCTGGAGTCGTTTTGAGGACTGGAACGATAAAATGTAGCACAGCACAATGCCTGGCACAAATTGATGCCCAGTGAGTAAACAGGGGTAGAAACACAGGGTTTCTGAACTGGGGAGGGGGGAGCTGGTAACTACTCCCCCCCACCCCCGAAAGCTTGAGCCAAGCCTGTTAAACAAGTGGGCTTCAGGTGAGATCTTATAGGAAAAGAAGATGTTTATCAGGCACCGTCAGGGGAGAGGTCCCAGGGCAGAGAAATCACTGGAAGGAAGCCACAGAGGCATGAAAACACTAAGGGATTTGGGGAGACAGTGCGGAGTTTGGAACTGCTAGGAGGGGTGCCCAGGAGAGGGCATGGTGGATGAAGCTGGAAATATGAGTTCGTGTCTGGAAGCGCCTGGAGGCCACTGGGCAATTCTGACAGGAAACTCTCAGAAGCAGATGTGTACAGGACCACGCCCCTAGAGGCCGGGGGGCGGGGGGCAAACGTGTGTGTGTGTGCGTGTGTGTGTGTGTGTGTGTAGAGGCAGAGATTGCACGAGGAGGTGGCTATGGTGATCCACATGAGTGACAGAGTGGGGTCGTGGTGGTGGAGGAATCGGCTCGGCAGGCGTTCGTCTTGGAAGAGCAGCAGCAGGGGGTACAGAACATGAGGACCTGGAGTCTGTCATTCCGGCCTGGGAATACAGGGAAAGCACAGAATGGGGAGGGCAGAAGGGAATATTCAGTTAAGGATATGTTGTGGTCAAGGGGTACTTGAGGTGAGGCACCCATATGGAAGAGTCAAGAAGGCAGCAGATAAACACATCTAGGGCACAGAAGCGATGGCTGGGCTGTCAGGGATTCAAGAGTCATGAGGGTTGAGTTAGTTGAACCTGGGGAGGGATTGAGTGAGGGATGTAGGGATTGAGGACAGAGCCAAGGGGCAGATTGGCCTCCACCGGTGGGAAAGGGAAGGGACCGATAGCTCTCACCTAAGACCTAAGAAAAACCGGTCAGGGAGTCACACGACCAGGCGAGAGGGTTAGAGCTAAAAGAGCTGCTCTACCTGCTTGCGGTCTGTCACCCCAACCCAACAAGAATGAAAGCCCCACAATGGCCAGGATTTGGTTTTCTGTTCCATCCACCACTTTGTCCCTA